AACTGTAATCTTTTGAGTTGATTGAGATAGTAAATTTAAAGCGTAAGTTGATGTTTAATTGGTACATACTAATTGAAGGGCATGTCGTTTTTATTTTTATGATTTATAAGCCCCTAAATTGATACAATCGACAAACAAATAAGTATATCTTATTATTAGTGTACATTCGTTATTCATGAAGCGGCGACGTAAGAGAATGCACTATCCTATACATAGAATACTATAATACACAATAGAATGGCTGTCAACCTTATTTTGTACGAGGATCGGCGTTGCCGGGTGCACACATACAAGCAATTACGTCGTATTATCAGTTAATCACTACTACAAACCCGATTCGTTGTATAGACAGACGGATTTTAATACATATTTATTTTTAAATAGCGTGTACATTTTAGTGGCTACATGGGCTCCGCCCACACCCCCGTTCTATAATGTATGTATTATAGTATTCTATGATCCTATATCATCGCGTACATATCTTAAGAATCAAACGAGGGAAATACCCAATACCAATCTGTTAACCATTTATGTCGCTAAAGCGCTTGCACTGCTGCGTTCCGGTTTGAAAAATAAGTAATTATAGACTGTGAGGCATTCCATCATACCTCAGATGTGGCAACACATCTGAAGCCTTCTTTGCTTGAGTTGGCTGCAGACGCCCATGGCGTTCAGTAGCCACAATTACTTCCAGGTATACTGTAAGTTCGATGGTCACTTCTGTTTTATTAAAATAACGATCTTCCATATAACATGTGTATTTAAACCATCCAAGGACCTACTCAAGCACACATAAAAATTTCATCAGAGTCGGTCGAGCCCATTTCATGTATATATAGGGATTATTGTTGCCAAATCGTCACCAAAAACGATAACATTAGGAAAAATTATTTTTATGAAGGAGTTTCATCAGTAGAATTTTCATACATATAAAGAAATCGAATCGATTAAATTTTAGTCTCAGACCAAAAGGTCAGCCAATAAATAAAATTCAAATAATAATATTGGGAAATTGCGACACATCTTCTTGTCTGGTTTCCCAGAGCGTGTTGGCAGTGATGACTTACGGCATTGACACGTGAGTTTTCAATGTTGGTCCTATGAGGAATTTCAAAGCAACTCATCTAACAAATGAGTGGCCATAGTCGGGGTTTTCCAGCGTAAAAAAATCGTAGTGATATCCGTATCAGCGTTAAAGTAGCTGATACAGCCTAATGGATCAATAAGCTGATGTGGATGGTTATTTAACTTGAGGGCTTGACAAGCAAAAATGAAGAGAAACAAAGAAAGACTCTCGAGTAGCAATCTAAACTACCAATGGAAAATAAAGGTACTCGTTTCTCTCAGTCGTGTAGTACTGGCAAGCTCGGTTTTAGTTGACCAACCCATATATCGGTTAGAACCGACTCTGAACAGATATAACTCAGAACAGACTCTGAACTGATTGATATAACTCCGACACGACTTGATGAAGTCTAGTGGAAGTCCGTGGATCGAATGCCGACCTTTTAGTGATACGCAACAATAATGATGATGAAGTATATGAGTTAAATTACTCTAAAAGAAATTAAGAAAATAACTCCCGGAATTATTGATTTCGTATTATCTTGGTTTCAAAATGGGATTTCTTATCTATATCACCGTTACATATTAACAGGAACTCATGTGTTATCTGTAGCCGCGATTCTCTTCTCGATTATTTATATATTAATTAAACAATAACATTTTAAGTTGCGGTCACGTTTTGCAAACTCAACTCAATCAACATAAATAAACTCGACTGCGTAATCTCTTAGTGACCTGCACTATACATAAGTAAGGAAAAGGTCCTACGATTCCTCCATCCTACTCCCGGAAGGCTTTTATGGCTTAGGTAATTAGAGTCACTCAATTAACCACCACTCGGGCTCAAAGAATTTTTGTTAATTATTAAAAAGGTTGCACTTAAGGCCCGGTGTAAGGAAGACGTTAATTACGGCTGAATAAAAGATAATAAACGGTGCAGTCAAGACGTATTATTTAGTATGGAGAAATTTGTGAATTTACTTTTGGTGAATGTTACTGTTTATTCATACTTTCTTACACAGATTTATATAACTTTTTGAGTATATATACTAGCTATATACGCTTTACGTGCGTAGGTGTACCTAGTTAAATAAAATAAATTTTCCTTCTACTATTTAACACTGTTTATAAGCTCGTAATAGTTCGCAGCCGGGCATGGGACCTTTTTTATAGGACAAGGTGACAAACAAGCACACAGTCCACCTAATGGTAAGTGGTTGCCGTGGATAATAGGCCCATACATCTATCCACGATTACGAATCAAAATGCAGATGCGTTGTTACCCGTGAGGAGTAAAATGGTTTGCCTCGTTTCCAGCAAAGAGGGTCTCCGGTTCCCTACACTCACCATACGAAACACAGCAGCATTAAGCTGATATTTTCCGCTGGTATCCTGTGAGAGCGTGGTCCTTCCCCGGTCGAGTCGACCTATTCGTGCTATAACTATACTACTAATATAACTGCAGCATGCCTCCACCACGTATAAAATCCCATATTATAGAGATTTCACCACGATTGCCACGCTTGGCAAGGGATTTCGCGATTGCGTTACTAGATGTTTTGCAATATTGACGCTGCTCTCTATCATCCTTCTGGATATTTTCCATCTGGTAAATATACTTTATTAACATCTTTCTAGCACTTCTCATAGTATCCTGTTACGACACGCGATGAAATAATATAAGCTATAAACCGCCACCCCACGGTCCTAATAAATATGACAATTATGATATAAAAATATCCAATACTAGTTTTAAGAAAGGTTTTCGTTAAATTTAATCATATAAACTATAAGTATGGTCTAACTAAATTACCCCCGCCGTGAAAGAGGGGTGTTATAAGTTTGACCTCTATGTGTGTCTGTGTGTCTGTCTGTGGCACTTAAAGTACCGTAGCTCTTAAACGGGTGAACCGATTTGGGTGCGGTTTTTTTTTTGTAAAAGCAGGTTTTCTAGCGGTGATTCTTAGACATGTTTTATCAAAATCGTTTCAGCCGTTTGAAGATCATTAGCAGTTTTTGTTTCGAGGGTTTTTAAAATTTTCAATTTAAGTTATCACTTATAAGTTAAACTCATTTTACTAGTTTTTAAACTTAATGTTTTAACGTTTCAGTTGTTAATTTTGACTGAAAAAGAGTTCTTTCCGCTAGTCTCACGATTCCATTGAAGTGTTTTTCAATATACGAGTGAGATAAGGCAGTTTCAGAGAGCCGCGTGGCACTTAATGTTTGCCCGATCTCTGTACTTGAGATAATTAAGCCATTAAATTGGTTGGTAACCCCTTTCACACTGTGAGAAGTGCGCTCGAAACGAAACGGAATCGATTTATTTTCGTATCACTTTTATTACGGACCATGCATCGTTCGAGTGTTTTAAATCTTCCAGGGATTGTGGTTGTTTTGACATGAACATACAGCGGTCCATGTTATATTTTATATATAAACAAAGTATTTATATATCGCTGATAAAGACACAATTAAATTTATGTAAATATAGTATAAACGCACACATAAAAAATAACTAGTACAAAATAGAACACTTAACGTAATATTACGCAGCTATATTATCGTTATAAGAGTTGGCTCGACCGGGGAAGGACACGCTTTCAAAAAATATTTGCTTAAAATTGCAGTTTAATGTTGTTGTGTTTTATGTGGTGAGTGCCAAAACCGAACTACTCATATTGTTGGAAACGAGGCATTCCATGTTAGTCCTCAGGTGTGACAACGCATTTGCATTTTGATTCTTGATCGAGGATAGATAGGTGTTTACGGCCCATAACGTTCACTTACCATCAGGTGAACTCGTGTTCTGCGTGCTCGTTCACCCTTATTCCATATGAAAAAATATCATATCAACTTTATGATTTACGTGTCACCTTATGCATACATAATGAAGCATGGTATTTTAAATTTATTTTCCCAAACCTCCTATTTCGCCAATAGAAATACTATAATATTGTAATTATTTTTTAACAAATTTACATATAACATGACCAAATAAGCTCAAATTTTCCGCGAAGGCATTATGTATATTACTTTTAAGGAGCGCCAAAGAAATTGATCTTACGAAATGAATGCATTGATTGGTCACCCGTTATGTAGGCTCTCGGCAGTCTTGACACCAAAAAAAAAAAAAGAAGAATCTCAGCATGAGTTCGCAAACGTATACATTAAACGCACGCAAGCTGCCTTGCAATGAGCCTCCGCGATACATAACCGCATCGCCGCGGGTTGCATTCTGCAAGGGTTGTCGTACTCGTTTTGAATGCGTTAAAAAAATGCGTCGAGATTGGATTCTCGGCCGCCAATTAACCAAATTTGCCGACCAATTTTTTTTTAAATAAAAGTGATGGTTTTGATCGCCTTTTTGTCAAGAAAACTCAAGCGAATAATTAATCTACATCTTTGATTATCTGAGCTACTTGAACTCTTGATAATACTCTTAACATATATATTCAATTATTAATTATAATACTATTACTAAGTTTTTCAGTTCCGGTGTCTTCATTTAAAACAGTAAAGTAAAGGGTAGGCTTTTCCCAAAAGTGTTTTTTATTAAAATCAGGAAGCTTACGTCGTTTAAGTTTTAATATTTGTTTAATACACTAGATGTGTCTTATTCGCGAGATTTATGCGTATGTAATATTGATCACTTTTGCGTGGCATTTTAATTCCTTTGGATGCTTGCGGCGCTCCAAAGGTCTACGCGGCGCTATTTATCAATATCGACGACTGAACGAAATGAAGCTGTCGTCACGACCAATTGTACCGCCATTTCAACTATGTACTTAAGGCTCTGTAGACAAGTGCTTCCATTCAACATTCAAAAACTTGAAATGCTCTGACAACAGAGAACTCATCGTGTTTCCCTTTTTCTGATCCTAACGTACTGAAAAATTTCATTTTTTTAATTAAAACTCTTATTCTTGTTACAGGAGCAAACGGTCTCAGGAGGCGGGGCAGACAAACCTACACCAGATATCAAACGCTAGAGTTAGAGAAAGAGTTCCACACGAATCACTACCTCACGCGAAGGAGACGTATAGAGATGGCGCATGCGCTGTGTCTCACGGAGAGACAGATTAAGATATGGTTCCAGAATCGAAGGATGAAATTAAAGAAGGAGATACAGGCTATAAAGGAATTGAACGAGCAAGAGAAACAGGCGCAAGCGCAGAAAGCGGCCGCGGCGGCGGCGGCGGCGGCTGCCGCGGCCGCGCAGGGCCATCCCGAGCACTAGAGCCCTGGCGCTTCGTACCACCTGAATGCAACGGACACTCCCTTTGTAAATTGTTTGTAATTATTTTCAAGTTATTTAAGTGTTGTTCGGTTGTTGTGATTATTTTAAAAATCAATTCTAACGCGTCAGACTCAACGTTTTTACCAAACGAACTGAAAACTGTCAACGTTAGAATACAAACGGGTCGTATTATTTGTGTTTCCGGTTTTGTTTGAATTTTTTCTCACTGTTTTGTTGATTTATTGATTCTTTAAAATATTTTTATTCGCGCTATCGTCGTAGATGTTCGCGTTCTGAAACCAGTGCAATTTGTAGAAATCTCTTCCGTGTATCATAGTGTAGGTGTATCGTAGTGCGTTTTACATTATGTTCAAGTTAAAAGCCCCCGGCTCGGCAGCATCGGCGAGATGAACATTAATTACATTGTACAAATTAAACATGCCTACCAAAGAGACCCGGTCTCCTAACCTTAATTAAAGCTAAGTAAGAATGAATCTATAAGTCGATCGACTGCCACTTCATTAACTTCGGACTTGTGTGACTCTGTAACAACCTACCGCGCCATCAAATCCTTCAATACTCTCGCATAAGTATAGTGTAAACGTGATCGTGTTCCTGCAATTTAAATAGTCGGTGAAGTTTAACAAATTGCCATAAATTTAAGTAGGTATTATTTTAGAGTTTAGCGGTGTAAATAGTTAGGGTAATGAAAGTGAGCGGTTTGCGATTGCGCCGGCGCCGTGGAATGGGCAGAAAAAGGCACGGGAGAGCTCGGGTGGGAGCGAGGGACGTGCGGCTGGAGGGGAGCGCGCGCCGCCGGCCACCGAACAAGACTAGGTGAGTTTTTGTCAAAGTCCGCGGCATTATTTATCGAGTGGAGACGGTTGCGAAAAACCGACTCGTCGTCACCAGTCGACGCGCGACGCCATTTTTAAAATCGCCCAAGCGAGACTTCTATAGTATGGCTGTTTTGCAATGTTTCAATTCACTAAACCAAATGCAGCTTTGATCTCTTCCGACCGTCTCCAGCTCGCTGCTTAAGCTATGATTTTAGCTGATAATGTTTGTTACTTCTCACTCTCGGTTACTTATATGAATAATTAGATCTCGAACGCACTAAGTGTTTTAAAGTTAATTAGCCAATTATATCTGACATTGATAAAATTCTATAGACATTATCACGACCCAGCTGTGTTAAAGGCGAATGCATAAAGTGTTAAAAATGAGCGTGGCACAAAGGAGGTTTTTATATTTCGTAAGCATGTATATTGTATAATGACTTCATCGGCTTCAAACTCCGAATGATCGGAGGGGACGTCTATTAATTAAATTGACTATAGTCTGTTTTATTTGGACGCCGATTATGGTAACGAAACGGTCAAAGAGTTCACTAAAAACTGAATTCCTTGCTCTGCGACCGGCGTACGGTCGGTAGAAGAAATAACCACAAATGCCATTCGACGTATTTGGACATGTTATTGACGTCGAGAAATGCTGAATAGCTTAGTCTGTATGTGCGTGTCACCTCGTTAAATTAGGATTTAAATCTCATTTCTTAAGACCCGGTGGATATAAAAAATGCCAATCGAGATACCATCCAAATCGATTTGAAATCTCAATTCTCAGTTACGGCGGCGGATTCTTTCAGTGAGATTTCTGCGTAAATGTGCAAACACCATTGCTTTACGTACCTATACTAACGTATACCTATAATAGATTTTTTTTTGATGTTGTAGGTAATTGTATTTAGATAAGTGCGTAGGTATATTGTAACTTGTAATGAACTTGTACATCGACATTTGAATATTGTAAAATATAAACGTTTAATTAAATTAAAATTCGAGACTTTTTTTTCAAAGCCATTTTGTTCTATAGCATTTTGCCATTTTATATGTAGTGACATAATTCCGTTGCTTTACAAATTTTGGGATTTATGATCAAAAAATGCGACAAGTAGTTTTGGCAGTCTTCTCTTTTTTTAATTTTTGTTTACAGGAAAAGGGTGACAAACGAGCACACAGTCCACCTGATGGTAAGTGGTTGCTGTGGTTCATAGACATCTATATCTATCCTCGTTTGCGAATCAAAATGAAGATGCATTGTCAGCCTTGAGGACTAAGATAGAATGCCTCTCTTCCAGTAAAAGGGGTCTCCGGTTTTCTACACTCACCATCCGAAACACAGCAGCACTAAGCTACTATTTGACGCTGGTATTCTGTGAGAGCGTGGTCCTTCCCCGGTCGAGCCGATCCATTTGTGCTACAACTATACAATTAATATAACTGCGGCATGGCTCTACCACGTGACAAATAACTCTTGATGTTAACCTAACAATACCCAAAGAATACTGAAGAGACCGAAACAGGTGAATATCTGACAGTGAAAGGTCAGGACTAAATCAGTCAGGACACTTCCAACCAAGCTCTGTAAATTTTTGCTGAGTGGCCAAAGATGTGTGAAGTCTGGCGTTATCATGATGAAAGACCACTTCTTTTCTATTGATCATTTCCGGCCGTTTCTTCTCAATTTCTTGCTTAAGTCTCATTAGTTGTTGGCAGTAGAGATCCGAACCGATGGTTTTTCCCGGCAGTAAAAGCGCATTATAAACAATGTGCTTTTAATCCCACCGTAAACACAACATCACCTTATTGCGTGTAAATTCGGGTTTCGCCACTGTCTGTTTAGCTTGATTACCCTTTGATCATATTTTTTTCGCACGTTCTTGTCGTAGGTGATCCAATTTTGTCACAAATATTCATTCTTTTCAAAAATGTTTTGGTTATATTACGGTATAATGGAGAAACGCAAATGAGTACCTACACGATTCATTAGGTTTCTTTCAGTGATTGCGTATTTTTCAAAAGGATCTAATCTGTTTTGTGGTCAATCCTCAATTCCTCGTCTGTGTCGTAACTATTGATAGCTGATCTTGCTCCACTTTTTCAAAAATGGCATCGACTTTATCCGTAAGAGGGCGACCAGTTGTTTGAGTTGCATTTTCCCTCTTTTGTAATAAAACTTCAGAATATACCGAATTTCTTCGTTAGATTCTTTCATTTTGGCGGACAGACAAACGTTTCAAAAATGGCGGGAAAGTATTAATTACTTTTTATTTTTATTATCCTTAACGTCCTATATGTATTGATATTAAAATTAACCACATACAAACAGAACAACCAAAGAGATTTTTCTTCATTATATACAAATAAAATACGAAGAAACTTTTCCCCCAAACTATTATTATAGTAGGTAAGTACTTCGTTATTGCGTTTGAGAAATTAATCAGAACTGGAACTGAATTAATTTTAAAATCAAAATGTTTGTGTTTTGCGAAATAAAGTATCTGCCTACTTGTTTAAAAATCTCTTTTTTTTAAGGCAACCACGTTTTAAGTACTCAATTTTTTTTAATTCTATTTTAACGGTGATATTCTATATTGATATTTTATTTGATATTAATTTCTTTTACTAATATTATATGATATTCAGTAAACTTACAGTTATTATAGCGTATTATATTAATAATATAACATCTTGAAAAGCTCATTCCTATATTAGTAAAAAGATTTAGCCTCAAATTGAATTGGTAGATAATACAGAAAGTAGGCAGTGACAGCGACAGTTTTTTTTGCTAGCCCTTCTCCGCCGCCATCTTCGGGTCCATGACCTGAGTCGGTCCAAAGATATCGGATAATTATTTGGTCGGAACGAAAAAATATTGCTTGCCTTGTTACCGACACATCACGAGCAGCGACTTTTTTTAATGAAATTTACAGTGGACACAAATAATTTCTATGTTCCCCCAGATACATAGCTAATTAACAACATCGAGTGTATTTAACCCTAAAAGCTATCGGTAAGTATAACGTTGAAAGCATAATATAATCGGCCTTTATCAACTACAAGATCATTATAAAAACTATATGTATCTTAAGATCCACTCGTTGGAAGACTACTGAAGTCATTGAGAATAATGCTAAGGTCCTTCAGTGATTTCGCAAATAAGACTGCATTGTCAGGAATTCAACTTGAGTTATGTATTCGCCCTTTATTCGCCATTGATGTTGATATCTTAGCTTTTTCGTTTGAGAAGCTTAATAGACATTTTTATTTGTGAAGCTTAATAGACTTTTCGAGTGAAGCGGTGAAAATATGATATAACATTATTTTGTCTTACATATTTCTAGAGTTTTTATCGCTTGGTACTGGATGGATATCGAAGCCTTTTATATAACAGTAATGGTGACAAAAGCGGTAGAAGTCTTCTGCAGATACAATAATTTTTATTATTTGCCTTGTATAGTCCGCCTGAAATATTGTCTCTATTGTTCAATGTATTGATTTAAGTAAAAGATGTATGTTGTCTTACATCTTTCTAAAGTTTTTATCGCTTGGTACTGAATGGATATCAAAGCCTTTTATATAACAGTAAGGGTGACAAAAGCGGTAGAAGTCTTCTGCAGATACAATAATTTTTATTATTTGCCTTGTATAGTCCGCCTGAAATATTGTCTCTATTGTTCAATGTATTGATTTAAGTAAAAGATGTATGTTCTTTATAGAATTGGGGGGATAATCATGACAGCCTATTGTAGTCCACTGCTAAACACAGGCCTACCCCATAGACTGCCTCATGGGTTTCGGGATTTGAATATTTGTTTATAGTTGCCACGTTTGGCGCGCGGGTTGGCAACCTTAGTATTTTTATTTTTAGTCGTTATTAAGAAGTCGTGTACTTATAACACCCACAGGATGATACGGGGCAGTGGTTATTCTGACACCGCCACTGCACGGATAATGGGATTAATAACGAGCAAAGAATTCGACCTGATAGTCAGTGGCCCATACTAGATACCTGAGGACTCCTCGTTGTTCGTGCTACAGTCGTGCAAAAAGAAAAGATTATTTAAGAAACAAATCCCATTTAGGAAAGCACGTATGTGTATATAATTAATTGATAATATCTCTTTTTTCGTATGGTTTAATAAAATTTCTATAATG